CAAATATTAACAGACCTAAAGGGAGAAATAGAGAGCAATATAATAATAGTAGGAGACTTTAATACCCTAGTTTCATCAATGAACAGTTCATCCAGACAGAAAATCAACAAGGAAGCAGTGGCTTTGAAAGATACATTAAGTGAGATGGACTTAACAGACATATACAGACAATCCAACCAAAAGCAACAGGATACACAATATGCATTCTTCTCAAATAGACATGGAACATTCTCCAGGATAGATTATATGTTAGGCCACAAAACAAGACTTAATAAAGATAAGAAGATTGAAATTATATCAAGCATGTTTTCTGACCACAACGGTGTGGAACTAGAAATCAATTACAAGAAGAAAACTGGAAAATTCACAAGTATGTGGAGATTAAACCATGTGCTATTAAACAACCAGTGCATCAAAGAAGAAATCAAGAGAAATCAAAAATATCTTGAGACAAATGAAAATGGAACTACAACATACCAAAACTTATTGGATGCAACAAAAGCCGTTCTGGGAAAAAAGTTCATAGGGGCAAATGCCTACATCAAAAAAATAAGATAGATCTCAAATAAACAACCTAATTTTACACCTCAAGACCTGGAAAAAGAAGAGTGAATGGAGCCCAAAGTTAGGAGATGGAAGGAAATAACAAAGATCAGAGTGGAAACAAATGAAATGGAGACTAGAAACACAAGAGAAAAGATCAATGAAACAAAGAGCCAATTTCTTTAAAGATAAACAAAATTGACAAACCTTTAGCTAGACTCACCAAGAAAAAAAGAGACGACTCAAATAAATAAAATCAGAAATAAAAGAGATGTTACAACTAATACCACAGATGTACGAAAGACCCTAGAAGACTACAATGGATAATAGTCATACCATAATTATACCAATAACTATACCAAAAAATTGGATAACCTAGAGAAATGGATGAATTCATAGAAACATACAATCTACCAAGAGTAAATCATGAAGAAATAAAAAATCTGAACATACTGATGACTAATAAGGAGATTGAAATGGTCAAAGATAGGAACCCTATAAAGGCAGAAAGTAAAGGGTTCCTCCATTGGCCTACACATAGGGGTAGGTGCACATGTGGAAACACAGGGTAATGAACACTGTGTTTAGGAACAAACTGAGAGACATGGTAAATAAACAAAGTGTTGACCTGCATATGAAGAAAGACTTCCTCTATCTTAATAGGAATCCTGCTAAAACAGTTTAGAGAAAATCCCCCATGCTGATGAAGTCCTTCATCCCCTACCTTTGATGTCTAAGTCCTTGGCCTGCCTTTAGCAAGACTTCTCATACTTTTGGGGCACCTGGCTAGCTCAGTCGGTAATCAATGTGAATCTTGATCTTGGGGTTGTAAGCTCAAGCCCCACATTGGGTATAGAGACTACTTAAAAATAAAATCTTAAAAAAAAAAAAAGTTCTCCTACCCTTGATACCTCCTTTTTGTAATTTTCCACCTACTGATCCCCTCACTTGGCTATGAGGCTCCACTTGTCCTTGTTTTTACGTTGTTGTTTTTTTTTAAGATTTTATTTATTTATTTGACAGACAAGGCAAGAGGGACTACAAGCAGCGGGAGTGTGAGAGGGAGAAGCAGGCTTCCCACCAAGCAGGAAGCCCGATGTGGGGCTCCATCCCAGGACCCTGGGATCATGACCTGAGCCGAAGGCAGATGCCTAACGACTGAGCCACCCAGGGCCCCCTATTTGGGATGTTTAGAACGTCCTTAGTCTTTGTTATATGTGGAGATGAGCCTGATCTCTCCCCACTATTGCAATAAGGAAGGCTTCTTTGGGATGATAGTTGAACAGAAGATGCTTGATTAGAGAGAGCAATTCATTCGTGCTGTGTTAATAGTATTTTTTCACTTGAGACTTTTCTGGTTCTTTGTATGACAAGGGATTTATGCTTGACTGTATCCTGGATGTGTGGGCATTATGTTCTGAGTATCTGGATCATACTTACATGTTATATTTCAGCTAACAGTTTAAATTTAGCCCTCGGGTCATGGCGTACTTTTGTGGGCTGTGTGTTGAATGACAATTTGTTTTTCAGGCCTTGAAAATCTACTCTGCTCTGCTTTATGTATGTGCTACTCAGAGGCCAACCTGAAAACCTAGGCAGGATTTCAATTTCTTGTACAGGTTACTTGGGGGTTTTGCCCAGGATTCGATATATACTTAAAAATTCCTTTCTCCAACTTTTTTGTTGATTTCTAGTTCGGAGGGGGGAGAAACATTACCTCATCAAGCTTGCCCAGCTCTGTCTCCTAGATACCACCTCACTTGGAAGGGGAATGCTGCCTCCCAACTACTCTTAATTTTTTAAATACCAAGGAATTTAATGTTGAAAAGCTTTCACTCTGTACTTCCTCAGTAAGAGAAAAGACATAGACATTCACTCAGCCTCTTAGCAAAAAAAAACACCAAGAAATTCAGCTAAGATAGATTTTCGTTGAGTGGAATCTGAGCAGGAGGGCAGAAGTGTGTAAGTAAGGAGAGTATCCTGGGATCTGTGCTTTATTAGAACAGAGACCAGAAAGTTGACCCACCGAATTAAAAACCAATAAAGTATGATGGCAAGGAAAAGGAATGTGTTCTATTTCAGATTATACAACAAAGTTAAATAAACTGAGCCATTAGTATATGTGATATTCATTCACAAGATCTCTCTCTCTCTCTTTTTTAAGATTTTGTTTATTTCAGAGTGAGCGAGGGAGAGAGAGAACTACTGGGGGAAGGAGCAGAAGGAGAGGGCAAAGCGGACTCCCTGCTGAGCAGAGAGCCCTATGCGGGGCTCCATCCCAGGACCCTGTGATCATGACCTGAGCCAAAGGCAGATGCTTAACTGACTAAGCCACCCAGGTGCCACCACAAGATCTCTTTTTTTGCTGAGTAAATATTCAATAAATAAACTAAATTTTTTTAAATAACGGAATGATTTTTTATACACATAGAAGAGTTATTTTTCCATATGGTGGCCTGGGTAAGTGCATTTTCCTTAGAAAATTCATTCCTAATTCACGGATATTGTATAATTTTTGTGACAAGCTTTTTATTTTTATTTTTTAAAAGATTTTATTTATTTGAGAGAGAGGGGGAGAGCACAAGCAGGGGGAGGGCCAGAGGGAGAGCAAGAAGCAGACTCCCTGCTGAGCAGGGAGCCAGATAAGGGTCTGGATCCCAGGACCACAGGATCCTGACCTGAGCCAAAGGCAGATGCTTCCAACTGAGCCACCCAGGTGCCCCATGTGATAAGCTTTAAAAAAAAAAAAATCTCAGAAAAAAAAAAATCTCAGTAAGAGAAAAAATGTACATTGTTTCATGATCATTAAGCAAAACAAAACATTCAGGAAGAAAGCACTTCCCTATACTATATACAAAAAAAAAAAAAAGGAATATGGGGTGCCTGGGTGGCTAAATCAGTGAAGCAGCTGCCTTCGGCTCAGGTCATGATCCCGGGGTCTTGGGATCCAGCTCCGCTTTGGGCTCCCTGATCAGCTGGTAGCCTGCTTCTCCCTTTACCTGCTGCTCCCCCTGCTTCTGCACTCCCTCCTCCCTCTCTCCCCCTCTGTCAAATAGATAAATACAATGTTTTAAAAAATTATTAAAAAAAAAAAAAAGAATGTGTTCCCTAGGACACCTGAGTAGCTCAGTCAGTTAAGCAGTTAAGCGTCTGAGGTTCTGGGATTGAGCCCCTGCTCGTGGAGATCCCTGCTTCTTCCGCTCCCTCTACCCCTCCCCTATTCATGTGGGCAAGCAGCCCGCGAGCTCTCTATCACTCTATCTCAAATAAGTAAATAAAATCTTTGAAAAAGAATGTGTTTCCTATATTACCATAGTGAGACAAAAAATATGCCCACATCCTAATCCCCAGAATCTGTAACTAAGTAGCAAAAGATGTGATTAAATGAAAGATTTTAAGAGGAGGTTCTTATTCTGGATTATCTGGGTGATCTCTGAATGCAATCACCTTGTGAAAGAGAGAAAGAGACACAGAAGGAGTTTACAGACACAAAGAGAGGAAGGCAATGTGAGGTTGGAACAGTGGGAGATGCTGCTGAGGAATGCCAATAGCCATAATTAGAAGCTGGAGGAGTCAAGGAAGAGATTGTCTCCTAGAGCCTCCAGAGGGAGTGTGGCCCTGCCAACACTTTGATTTTGAACCTCCATTCTCCAGAACTCTGAGAGATAACTTCTCATTGTTTTAAGACACCCAGTTTGGGGTGCCTGGATGGCTCAGTTGTTAAGCGTCTGCCTCCAGCTCAGGTCATGATCCCAGGGTCCTGGGATGGAGCCCCACATCAGACTCCCTGCTCAGCAGGGAGCCTGCTCCTCCCTTTCCCACTCCCCCTGTTTGTGCTCCCTCTCTCGCTGTGTCTTCCCCGTCAAATAAATAAATAAATAAATAAAATCTTTAAAAAAAATAAAGATACCCAGTTTATGATAATTTGTTATGGCAGCTCTAGAAAACTAATAGCTATCCTTACACAACCTTGTTGTTTTCTCTTTGCCTTCAACATGAGTTTCATGTTCCCCATGGAGTTTCCAATTATTGAGGTACTGTCTGAAGGAGGAGCATAAGATGGTGAGCTCACAAAGGAAAGCAGAAGAGCCAGCAGTCTTATGCGCCAACATTGTACCATACTTGGTTATAGCTATGCAATATATGCACATTAATGATTACTGAGGGCTTGAAGATGCCATAAACTTCAAGTTTTGTCTTTGACCATTTGATTCTCTTCAAGGAGAATCAAGTCACGGGGTTAAGAATGGATCCATGAAGTTTAGTCTTATACATTTATTTCTGCTTCATTCCTTTAAATTAGAGCAAGTGATGATCTGGAGCAGAAGTTTCTCCTGCCTCAACAGAGGTGGTAATGGAGGAGGAGGTCCTTGTACAAAGAGGACCATGGTGGTGATGATGGTTTATCAGGAATTGGAATTGGAAGGAATTGGAAGACAAGGAACAACTCCTCCGGGTAGAAGTGGCACTGGTAGAAACGACGGTGGGCATGGCTCTCTATCTGCCTATAGAGATAGTAGAAGAGGTCCTGAAATCTATAAGTAACTTGACCGCCAGTGTTCCTGTAATAGAAATAATCTAATGTTAAAATAAGCAATAGACATTTGTGGGTTTTTTAGAGTTGATATACTACTTATTAATTTATCAATCTTCAAGGACTTAGTACATGCAAAAGACCGGTACAGATATTTAATAAACATTTTTAACTCTACACAATTAGGGTCCTTCTGCTAACACTCTAATGCTAGAAGAGTTGGCATCCTCATCAAAAGCTTTCTGAAATAATGAAAAATTAGATTTTATGATGAGTGTATGCAAAGAAGAAGTATTCTGTCTGGCCTGGGCATGTTAGACTAGTTTGTTCAAATGTGGATAATATAAGGTTATGGTTTGATCCCCCTGGGAGCTAATTGGCTCTACACAAAGAGTCTGTCTCAGAATGCCAATGATCTAGCTATCTTATAATAACATAAGCAACATTGATTTGTATAGTAATATATGCTTATCAAAGTTTTTGTATCTATTATCTCTTTTGAGCCTTATTATAACCTTATAATATAGGTAGGGCAAGTAGTTTTATCTCACTGCTTATAGATGAGACTCCAAGACTCCAAAAGCCTAAGTGATTGGACAAAGGTCACAAATACAGTGTGAAACATGGTTAGGACTTGAATGCAGTTCTTTACACACCTAGTTTGGCTCCCTCTCTATTAAAGCAGACTACCTTCTCATGCCCGCAAGTCATTTGTCACGAGCTGAAGACAGAACCCAGGTGAATGCCCTAATTTGGAGAGTGAAAAAAGGGAGCGTAACCAACTTCTTAGAGAAAAAAAAAAAAAGTAAAGTAGGATAGGATAAAAAACTGTCAACTATTACTGATACAGTAAAGCAAAGTGAGGATAAGAAAAGACCACCAGACTGGGTCACTTGGAGTTCACTGTTGAGTTTTTTTGTGAGTTTTCAGTAAAATGGTAGAAACAGACCAATTCAAGCAAGAAACATCTGTTGAGGATCCTCTATATTAAGATACAATCTTCACATTCTGAATATTCCCTCCAAATATGAGCTGTCTTGAGGAGAGTACTTAATCAGTTGTAAAGTGTAGATCACCTAATAAAGATTTTAAGTATGAGAACTTTTCTCAAAGAGAAGGTAAGTGGGAATATAAAGTTGACAGGTTTTGAAATGAAGGTAGTCAAGATTATAGAGGTCTACAAAAGCTTTGGGGATCATTCAATACTTAAAGATTTTCTTCAGGACAGGAAATGTGGTCCTGATGGTTAATTTTACGTGTCAGCATGACTGGGCAATAGGGTGCCCAGATATATCTGGCTAACCATTATTCTGGGTGTTTCTGCGAGGGTGTTATTAGATGAGATTAACATTTGAATTGGTAAATTGAGTAGCACAGATTGCTCTCCCTAATGGGGGCAGGCCTCATCTAATCAATTAAAGGCCTAAATGTAACAAAAGTGCTAGTCTTCCAATCAGTGAAAAAGAATTTTTACTGCCTAACTGCCTTTGAACTGGGACACTGGCACTTTTCCTGTATTAGGACTCAAACTCAAAACACTGGCTCTTCCCGGGTTTCAATCATGCTGGCCTTCCAACCAGAACACCATTGTTTTTCATGATTCTAAGACTTTTGTGATCAGATTAGATCTAAACCAATGGCTCTCCTATGCCTGCAGCTTGCCAACTCACCTTGTAGGTCTTACGACTTGGAGCTACCATAATCATGTGAGTCACTTCGTTACTCGGTATTATGTATATTATATTAAGTTATATGTTATGTATGTTATAAAGTACATACATATACATATTTATATAAAATATATGCATGTGTACATTTAAATGTTATATATCATATATAAAACATAGTCATATTTACATATGAATATATTATGTTTATATAACATATATACATGTATATATGTATGTATGATATATACATAAAATCTCTGTCCTGCTGGTTCTGTATCTCTAGAACCCAGGGTCATATAAGAATGAATGCAATTTTTCAATTAGAATGATAAATTTTCTCTCAAAAGTAATTTTGTTTGTATAATATATTCTATCACAAAATATGTAGGGAAGCTTAGGAAACCAATGTTGTAAGGGCGCCTGGGTGGCTCAGTCATTAAGCATCTGCCTTCAGCTCAGGTCATCATCCTGGGTTCCTGGGATCAAGCACCACATCCGGCTCCCTGCTCAGTGGGAAGCCTGCTTCTCTCTCTCACTTCCCCTGCTTGTTTCCTCTCTCACCGTGTCTCTCTGTGTCAAATAAATAGATAAAATCTTCAAAAAAAATTAAAAAAAAAGAAACTAACATTTTAGTCTTTTCCACACATGGAAATGATTTGTCTTGGGAAATCAAATGTGTAGAGTTATTTAAACTAAAATTTTAATTTATGAGAAAATCTGTTTCTGGTCATATTTTCCTTCTATTTAACTAGATACTTTCCAAATTAGAACTCATCTTGCAATGATACAATATATATGTAGTTTCATTACCTGCATTTGATTTTTCTGGAATTCCGCATTAAGCTCTTTGATCTTTTCTTCTGGCATCTTGTTTTGAGCTCGGGTTGAGGTGCTGACTTCTTCATTTGTCTACAATGATCATCACCACAAATGCACACTTAATAATATAGCGTCCAGAAACCTTTAAACAATATTATGTATTAAATAAATGGGACACCCTTTTCTTCTTTAATTCCTGGGCCTTCACTTGTGACTATTCATGACAATTAAATCCCCTTCTGTGGGGATGGGCCTAGTGCTGCTGGTGGTAGTGGTGGTAATGATGAACTCTGCTTTCGAACCAAGGCAAACAAAAGCACTTTTACTCCTGAAAAAAATACTAGAAAATATTTTTTAAAAGTGTGAGCCACATTTTTCTTCATGTATCATGGGCATTTTTTTTGTTTGTTTTGCTATTCAAAACGAGATCTTAATAATTTCATCCTCAATGGGGAAAAACCAAGAGCTCTTCCTCTACAGTCAGGAACGAGACAGGGATGTTCACTCTCTCCGCTTTTATTCAACATAGCACTGGAAGTCCTAGCCACACAGTCAGACAACCAAAAGAAATAAAAGGCATCCAGATTGGCAAGGAAGAAGTAAAACTTTCATTATTTGTAGATGTCATGATACTCTCTATAGAAAACCCAAAAGACTCCACCAAAAAACTGCTAGAATTGATAAGCAAATTCAATAAAGTCACAGGATACAAGATCAACGTACAGAAATCTGTTGCACTTCTATATATCACTAATGAAGGAGCAGAAAGAGAAATTAAGAAAACAATTCCATTTACAATTGCACTCAAAACCATAAGATACCAAGAAATAAACCTAACCAAAGAGGTGAAAAATCTGTACTCTGAAAACTATAAGACACTGATGAAAGAAACTGGGAAAGACACAAAGAAATGGAAAGACATTCCATGCTCATGGATTGAAAGAACAAATATTGTCAAAATGTATCTACTACCCAAAGCAATTTATACATTTAATGTAATCCCTATCAAAATATCATCGTTTTTTCAAAGAGCTAGACAAACAATCCTAAAATTTGTACAGAACTATAAAATACCCCAAATAGCCAAAGCAATCATGAAAAAGAAAAGCAAAGCTGGAGGTATCACAATTCTGGACTTATATTACAAAATATAAGAAGTATATTATATTATATTACAAGTTATATTACAAAGCTGTAGTGATCAAAACAGCATGGTGCTGGCACAAAAACAGACACATAGATCAATAGAACAGAATAGAAAACCCTGAAATGAACCCACAATTATATGGTCAATTAATCTTCAATGAAGGAGGCAAGGACATGCAATGGGAAAAGAACAGTATCTTTAACAAATGGTGCTGGGAAAACTGCACAGCAACATACAAAAGAATGAAACTGGACCACTTCTTTGCACCACATACAAATATAAATTCAAAATGGATTAAAGACCTAAATGTGAGACCTTGAAACTCTAGAAATCCTAGAAGAGAACACAGGCAGTAGCTTCTTGGACATTGGTCATAGCAACTTCTTTCTAGATAGGACTCCTGAGGCAAGGGGAAGAAGAGTGAAAATAACTTACCCTGTTTTTTAATGTTACATACCATATATTTAAGTTAATAAATTAGAAAATGAAGTAAAAAATAAGCTGTCAGTTCAACTTCTTAAATATGTTTAATCTTGAAATGAGATCACACTTCTAGAACATTCAAGTTGATTCACATTAATGCAAATTAGACTCTTTCTACAGTATCCTTAATTTCCTAGCATTTTAAAAGATGTGCTCCACCAAATCAGACAGTAAAATGATACACATCATAAAGGCATTCTCCTTGAGAGAGTAAATCAAAACACTTATATAGGGGCACCTGGCTGGCTCAGTGGTTAAGCCTCTGCCTTTGGCTCAGGTCAGGATCCCAGGGTCCTGGGATTGAGCCCCACAGTGGGCTCCCTGATCCATGGAGAGCCTGTTTCTCCCTCTCCCTTTCCCACTCCCCCTCCCCCTGTTTGTGTTCCTTCTCTCACTCTCTCTCTGTCAAATAAATAAAATCTTTTAAAAAATACACTTGTATAAAATGTTATGAGGGAATGTGAAAGGTTAAAATCAGTAAGCCAGAGAGATCATCTAAATGTTGGACATTCTGCTGTGTTCTGCCATAGCTCCTGCCTCAGTCAAGCCTCTAAAGACCAAACAAACCTATTTAGTATGAACACTGGTTGGCCCAGCTAAAGAAGAAACACCATATTTACATCTTATTTCCCCTTTGTTGCAATGTCACCTCAAGTCATTTTAGAAGGCTATACAACAATGCTACTCCTGTTTCTAAAAGTGATACACCTTCTTGTCTAGAATTGTCTTTAGCATAAATGGAACAATAAGTACTTTCACTGTTAATCAATATTCATTCTCAGAGTATATTTTACCTTTAGAAATTACAAAAGGCATTCAGATCCAAGTCTGAAGGAAGAGTGGGTGAACAATCTGGATAATAATAATGGTTAGGGTCAAACCTAAAATACTACTTAGTGATTGTTTTCTCCATTCATATCCGAGTCCTGGAAAACATCCCACAGTGAATAATCTTAATCTTTTCCAGTATCTTTAAATTTCAATCCCTCCCCAAAGACTTTGATCAATCAATGATCTGATGCTCTATTTTTTTTTTCAAGTAATCTCCACACCCAGCGTGGGGCTTGAGCTCTTGACCCTGAGATCAAGAGTTACATGCTCTACCAACTGAGCCAACCAGGCTCATACTCTACATGAATCTTTCGCTGAAAGATGTGAGCTTGTTTGACTTCCCTACTATCCATGTTAAGATTTCTTTGAATCCAGGGGCACCTGGCTGGCTCAGTCGGAAGAGTATGGGAGTTCAAGCCCTATGCTAGGTACAGATATTACTAAAAAAAAAAAAAAAAAAAAAAAAAAAAAAAAGTTAAGATTTCTCTGAATTCACACTCCCATCCCTCTCCTAAAATCAGCTTCTCTTTGTGTGCTTCTGAGCAAGATAATGTCCACAATTTTTTCCTGTGAATGGTTCACTGCTGCATTTACAGAGAGGCATGTGATCTCTCTGTTTCTAATTTAAAGTTAACCACATGTAGAAATCAAACCACGCAAGTCTAAAGTATGTGAGCCGGAAGATGCCTTCTGAGAAGTCCACTAATCTTATCTTCCACTTCTAACAATGAAGAAGCCAAGACGGAACGAGTATGACTTACTTAAAGCCACAGCAATTAGGAGCAAAGCTGCGATCAGATCTTACTGCTTATCATTCTACAGCTGAGTTTCAGGGGTGTCAGAACTTACCAGATGGGTTAATAGTTCCATTCTCCCAGGCTCGTGATCTCTCGCGATCATCATAATGAGCCATTAGAGAGACTGAGGGTACATGGACATGGTGATAACCAGATATGAACAGAGGAAGTTCGGTGAGAGGCCGACTTTGACAAAGGAGCATATGTGCAGAAGGACAGCACAGCATCGGAGTACAACTGAGCCAACTTACTTACCTATCAGAAGTGTGAGGTCAGCGTCTGCTCCTGGTCTAACCTTGAACTCTGGGGTCCGCAGCACGCACTGTAGATCACACTCTTTGGTTTCTTCTAAAACTGTGACCTGAAAAGGAAAGAAAGGATTTTTGATTACCCTTGCCGCGGATACAAATCAACTTCTCTAAGTAAAGATTCTGCATGAAAAAGAGGAAAATATACCAGTCTTTTACTAGCCCTATAACAGAAACCCTTCCAGTCACCACACACCCGTGGGAGAACTAAGCCTGGACCTAGAGATGGTCTGGGCTTGATACCCTGCAAGCCCTTTGTGCTGTCATCCACTGTGACCATTTCATGACTTCACGCTGTAATTTGCTGGGATTCAGTGGCCAAAGATACTGATCAGCCCCTCTGCTTATTTAAGCCACTGTCCCTGTGGTTAATGAAATACATATCCTGTTAGCCCCATATCCATGGATATAGAAATGTTCCCCACTCGCTATTTAATGATTCCAATGAGGGATGAACACCCTGGCACTAGGAGGGGACAGTTTGGATTTTGTACAGCACTGTCACACTAGTAGCTGTGAACAGTCTATATAAAACTGGACTGAGGGATGCCTGGGTGGCTCAGTCGGTTAAGCATCTGCCTTTGGCTCAGGTCATGATCCCAGGGTCCTGAGATCGAGTTCCACGTCAGGCTCCCTGCAGGGAGCCTGCTTCTCCCTCTGCCTGCTGCTCCCCCGCTTGTGCTCTTTCTGTCTGACAAAGAAATAAAAAGAAATAAAATCTTAAAAAACAAAAAAGATAAAACTGCTAGTGAGATGCTAAGCAAGGAACAATTTATACGCATTTTCAAGAAAGACCCAATGTATGGAAGTATACATGCTTAGTACGCAGGGCTAGAGCTTCGATTTATTCAAAGTGGCAAAGGTCTTGAACCATATCTTGATTACATAAACCATCCAAGTAATCCTGGCCCTAAACCTGCCCGCTGGCGTGCTGCCAAAACACGACACAGCACCTGCTGCATCGAAACTGGAGGGAACACGACAATCAGTCAGGGGCGAAAGACCTAACAGAGTAAGAGCTACAGGATATTCCCTCCTGTTGCAGCTCTCATCCCCAGCTCTCCCCAGGGCTCTCCCCCACCCCCTTCACCTCTTATGTCACCTATTTATTGAGGCCTTGCTTTCCAATCTACGTAAAGGTGCAAATTCCCATGGCCTCCCCAGCCCTAACACCCGTCCTCGGTGTGGTGATAGGACGGGTCACCATCCATCATGATATAGAGATGAGTCCCCTCTCCTGCTTGTGTGTGCTGGAAAGCTCAGACCATTATTCTTTACGATATATATATGTGTCTCATTTCTTATCTTTTCATTATCCTTCCCAGAATGTGAACCGCATGTGAGCTGGTACTTTTTTTTTAAGATTTTATTTATTTATTTGACAGAGAGAGAGACAGCGAGAAAGGGAACACAAGCAAGGGGAGTGGGAGAGGGAGAAGCAGGCTTTCCACCAGGCAGAGAGCCGGATGTGGGCTCCATCCCAGGATTCAGGGATCATGATCTGAACCAAAGGTAGATGCTTAAGGGCTGAGCCACCCAGGTGCCCCTGAGCTGGGACTTTTTTATCTCTTTCATGGCTGTATTTCAAGCACTCTGAACAGTGTCTGGCCCTTTAGTAGGTTCTCAGCAAAAAATGAAAGTCATCTTTGGCTTCATGTTCATGCCTTTCCCAGAGATGACCCTGTTAAATGTGTAGTGTGCATTTTTTCAGGATTTTCACCTCAATGTAGCTTTGAATATTTCTACAATACATTAAACAAAATTATTTGTTTCCACTCCTAGTCGGAGATACTATTTAGCTTTGTAAACATAACCAACGTTATCTCTTTAAGTTTGCTATTTTCACCCATATTTCTCAATAACATACTGAAACTGATTTTGTTGTTCCTATTTTGTCGGTATCATGGGTGATTTCAAATAAAGCAGATGGGACAATGTCAGAAATTCCATGTATCCACCAAAGAGCTTCAACAACAACAGTCAACTTAAACAATATTCAACATTTCACTGGGTGGGGGCAGGGGGGTTGCTTTTTTTTTTTTTTTGCTTCAGTATTTTAAAACATATTGCAGATATATGATTTCACACATAAATCTTAAGCTATACAAACCATACACTCTACTGTAACAAACACTGTAACAGATAAGATTTTTAAAAGACCCAAATATCATCATTGCAACTAAGGAATTATAATTACAGTCAACCCTTGACCAAAATAAGTTTGAGCTACATGGGTCCTCTTACACACATATATTTTTTGAAACAGCACAGTATTGTAGATGTATTTTCTCTTCCTTATGACTTTCTTAATATAATTTTCTTTTCCCTAACTTACTTTATTGTAAGAATATAGCATATAATACATATACAAAATACGTATTTATGTTACTGGTGAGGCTTCTGATGAACAGTAGGCTACTAGTTAAGTTTTGGGGGAGTCAAAAGTTATACTTGGATTTTTGATTGTATGAGCAGGTCAGCACCCCTACCTCTCCTCATTGTTCAAGGGTCAACTGTATTCCCTAATACCACATGAAAAATCCATGTCCAATATCCCTGCTTGACCTAAATATGTCTCTCAAATTTGATTTGCTCTTATTAGGATCCAAACAAGGATCAACCACATAATTGGCCAGATTATGATGTAATCTTCTTTTCATCTATAATGTCCTCTTAACCCTTTTTGTTTGCCATTTCTTTGATGAAAATACTGGACTATTTGTCCTGTAGAATTATGCATATTCTGGATTTTTCTAGAGGCATCCTTGTCTTGAATATATTCCATTATAATCAGAATATCTTGTAGTCAGATATATAGACTTGGTTAGATTCAGGCTAAATTAACTTAGTAAGAATGTTTTATACTTGATGCTTTGCACTCCTATTATATCATATCAGAACACACATGATATCTGTTTCACACACTGCTGTGTAAAGATTGGTCAGGGGTTCTTGGATGGCTCAGTCAGTTAAGTGTCTGCCTTCAGCTCAGATCATGATCCTGGAGTTCTGGGATAGAGCCCCACAGCAGGCTTCCTGCTCAGCGGAGAGTCTGCTTCTCTCTCTGCCCCTCCCCCTGCTCACGTTCTCTCTCACTCCGTCTCTCTCTCAAATAAATAACAGAAAGAAAGAAAGAAAGAAAGAAAGAAAGAAAAGAAAAGAAAAGAAAGAAAGAAATATTGGTCAGTGGGTCATAGTATTCTTACCTTGATTCATCCACATTATAAAATGTCCCATAGTTCTTTTACTTAAATTTTATTAAATTTGCACGGGCTTACTTTTTTATTATTAATATGTAATTCATCCTCTATATAATTTATCATTTTAAAGTATACAAGTCATTGTTATTTGTGCAAAACTGTGCACCCATCAACACAATTTTAGAATATTTTCATCATCCCAAAAAGAAAGTCCATACCCATTAGCAGTCAATCCCCATTCCCCCAACCCTCAGCCCCTGACAATTTCGAACTTACTTTTTTTCTCTATGGATTTACCTCTTCTGGACATTTTTTGTGAATAGGATCATGCAATATGTATTCTTTTGTATCTGCCTTTTAAAAAGCACTATATTTTCAAGGTTAATCCATGTTGTATCATGTATCCATTCTTCATTCCATGTAATGACTAAATATAAATCCACAATAGGGATATAGCACACTTAGTTAAAATGTTCCTCAGTTGATAGACATTTGGGTCATTTTCCCCCTTTTAGTTTTATGAATAATGCTGCCATGAACATTCATGTACAAGTTTTTGTTTGAATATCTGTTTTCAGTTCTCCGTTATAGACAAAGGAGTGGAATTGCTGATCACGTGGTCATTCTATGTTTAACTTTTTGTGGAATTGCCAAATGGCTCTCCCAGGTATCCACACCATTTTACATTCCCACTAGCAGGGTATGTGAGATTCAGTTCTTGACATCCTCACCGCAAATTGCTGTTTTCCTTTTTATTTTTAATATAGCCATCTTGCTAAGCAGAAGTGGTATCTCCATGTGGTTTTAAGTTTTATTTCCCCAATGACTAATGATGTTGATCATCGTGTCTTGTGTTCATTGGCATTGGCATGGAGGGATCGATGGATTTGCAGCATGAGAGCTCCATGTGTGGGAATCCATCCTGTGCAACCCTGGCTCACAATGGCAAACCGAGTAAGTCTCTTCCTATCTCAGTTCCCGACACAATGAGTAGTTACCGAATCTGTGTCTGTCCAGGGAAGGGGGACAGAAAAAAGGCTTTGGCTTGGATCTCTGTGTGGGGAAATGACCCCTACTCCCTAAAGCGAAGGGCAGGAAACACAAGGAGGAATCCAGAGGGGTTAGCTGAGATCCAGAGCCCAGGGATCAGGTCAGGTAATTCCACAAGGGAAGGTGGGGGGAAGCTATATCACTTTCCACCCTACCTGGTGGGAAAGTTGTGGCAGAGCATTAACCCTTCTCTCCACCCCCCTGGGAGTGGAAGGCAGCAGGGTTTTGTGAGATTTCCTGTGTTGACCTGAAATGCAAAAAGGCAGCTGCCAGACCGGGACAAAGCCCCTCAGGGTGCTCTTTGTCTTCCTTTCCTCCGCTCAAACAACTAGGGAATGGGTGAGAAAAATGGGCTGTGAGTCAGACCTTGAGCCAGGCTGGGAGCCCCCAGACAGCAGGTGGTCTTGAGGGACTACGCAGGTGACTTCAGTTCTCCCTTGAAATAAGTCTGTATTCCTCTATTTGTGAAGATGTTTTTTAATAATAATCACGAAAGGACTGCATTTGTCAATAAAAATAAGAAGAGTCAACAAAAATATCTTCACAGTCAATTGTTTAGTAACCAAATAGCTGGAGGACCCATGAACCTAGGAAGCTCCTTAGACTGTTTAAAAAGATCTTTATTGGGGCGCCTGGATGGCTCAGTGGGTTAAAGCCTCTGCCTTCGGTTCAGGTCGTGATCCCAGAGTCCTGGGATCGAGCCCCACGTCGGGCTCTCTGCTCAGCGGAGAGCCTGTTTCCTCCTCTCTCTCTCTGCCTGCCTCTCTGCCAACCTGTGGTCTCTGTCAAATAAGTGGGTAAAATCTTTAAAAAAAAAATCTTTATTTGCATCCATTTCTCTTTGTCCTTAGATTACAACCTCCTGGGAGGATTCACGCACCAAAGTAACAGCCCTCATCTCTGAGGGGCAGCATCACCTGTTCGGTTCCTTTGCTCGTCATCTACACGCGTCCCCATTATGGGAGCATTCTTTTGCAAGAGCCACATGTTCCTCCTTTAATAGGAAGGAATGAACCAAGACATCGGTCAGGCAGGAGAAACCTTCCAGTCACTGTGATTCCTTCAGACCCAGCACATCCCCATCCACCTAGGCCGTGTGGACACCACCTGCAGCAGCCCCTACCCACGTAAGAAGCTCTGGCTCCTTGCAGCTCCTTGGCAAAGGGCGGGAGGGCGGTGACGGGGCGGAAGGAGTGCCAGCTTTTCGGATCCCGACTCTCACCTGGGGAAGGAGCAATTAAAGTTTTCATAACCTCAGGCAGATGAATGATGTAAACTTGTAACAATCGTTTGGAAGTGTATTTATTTAAATTTTTCTTTCTAAGCAGTTTTGCGACTGCTGAACGGTAAATTTTCGGTTTGTTGCAGCACATTCATCGTCTTGCCGGCAGGGACCCTGCAAGGGAGGCAAACTGATTTTCCCAAGCAAACGGCAAAACAACAGCTTTCCGCTCGGACTTTCCCAGGTCCACCTCTCTCCGCCCCTTCTTGCACCTGGGACCTTCTGAGGATGTCCCACCCCTCCCCTGGGCGGGGCCAACACCGAGGAACCCGGATTCTCAACCCTCACCCAAGACCCCGTACCTCCAGCCCCCGCGGGCTCTGGGGGAATAGGAGGAGACGTCGACGCTGGGGGGGGAGGGGCTGCGGCTTACGCGGGGCCTCGAGGACGCAGCTTTACGGCAGAGACGGGCTAGGGGCGCAGTCAGACCGCCTGCCCCCGCGTGAGCTACTGGACCTCACTTGGTCTTTCCCGCCGGCCGTCGGCCTCCGCCAGGTGGGTCCCTTGGCCTTTGTCTTCTTTCCTTTCCTTTCTCGGCCGGGAGGGGACCCGGGGCTGGGGGCCGGGTTTGGGTGGCCCTTCCGGGCCCGAGGACCTTCCTTGTCCCCCAGCGTGTAGGCAGCCCGTGCCCGGTGTGCGACCTGGGCCGGCGGTGGCTGGCAGCCCGGGCGGCTTGGAGGGGCAGGCGCGGGTGGCCGAGGCGGGCCGGGGTGCGGCTTTGGGGCGAGGCTGGTCGTGCGTGAGCGCCGGGATGGTACCGCCGCCTCAGTTCTGTGCCCGGGCGCAGGGAGGAGGGCGAGCGTCGCCGTAGCGCCGCTGGGGCCTCCGCGGCCGGCCGGTGGGCCCGGGAGCGTCTCCCTGTGGCTGCGGGTGGGCCCGCGGATTCCAGGGTTCCTCCTTCCCCTCTCTCCCCTGCCCTTCCTCCCCATCTGCGTGGCCGCGGGAGGTTCCGCTTGGTTGGTTTGGATGGAGGGCTCCTCCGAATGTACCCTGAGAGCACTAACAACATTTCGTGTGAAGAAACGTGCTGCTTCTAGGGACGGAGGGAAAAATAGGTGTCCTTCTTGGCCGTGTTGGTCTCAATCCTCTACTCATTTCTGACAGACTTTTTTGAAAATATTGCAAGAAACCCAGTGCCTAGGAAATTATTCCGTCCTATAAATTGGTTATTTAAATCAGAGAGGGAGACAAGCCATAAGAGACTCTTAATCATAGGAAACAAACTGAGGATTGCTGGAAGGGAGGGGAGTGGGGGGGATAGGGTAACTGGGTAATGGACATTGAGGAGGGCACGTGATGTAAATTAAAAAATAAAAATAAATTATTTGAGTGAAACCATTGGATTTACTAATAGGTTGCAAGAGAATATGAGGAGATGTCATTCAGATTATTTTAAATGGACTGGTGGGACTTGTGAGACCGGGGTTGATTTTCACAAGTCTTTTGTGCTCGTCCTGATTTGTAGCTTAGCAGGGGAACTAAATTTGAGGAGGTAAAGTGACGTGAGTCAAGAAATCCAGCTTTTTTTTTTTTTTAATTTAAATTCAGTTTCATTGACATATAGTGTATCAGCTTCAGAGGTAGAATTTAGTGATTCATCAGTTGTATGTAACACCCAGTGCTCATTCCATCAAGTGCCCTCCTTAATGCCCACCACTGAGTTATCCCATCCCACTACCCACCTCCCCTCCAAGCAACCCTTAATTTGTTTCCTAGAGTTAAGAGTCTCTTATGATTTGCCTTCCTCTAAATTTTCATTTTATTTTTCTTTCCCTTCCCCTGTGTTCATCTGTTTTGTTTCATAAATTCCACATATTAGTGAAATCCTATGGTATTTGTTCTCCTCTGACTGATTTATTTTGCTTAGTGTAATACCCTCTAGTGCCATTCAGGTACCTTGCAGATGGCAAGGTTTCATTCTTTTTGATGGCTGAGTAATATTTGTGTGTGTGTACACATACCATATCTTTATCCATTCATCTGTCGATGGACATCTGGGCTGTTTCCATAGTTTGGCTATTGTGGACATTGCTGTTATAAACATTGGAGTGAACATGCCCCTTCGAATCACTATGTTTGTATCCGTTTGGTAAACACCTAGTAGTGCAATTGCTGGGTCCTAGGGTAGTTCTATTTTTAACTTTTTGAGGAACCTCCACGCTGTTTTCTAGAGTGGCTGTACCAGTTTGCATTCCCACCAACAGTGTAAGAGGGTCCCCTTTTTCTGCATCCTCACCAGCATTTGTTGTTTCCTGTGTTAATAATTTTAGCCATTCTGACAGGTGTGAGGTGGTATCTCCTTGTAGTTTTGATTTGTATCTTCCTGATGCTGAGTGATGTTGAGCATCTTTTCATGTGTCTGTTAGCCATCTGGATGTCTTCTTTAGAAAAATGTCTATTTATGTTTTCTGCCCATTTCTTAACCAGATTGGTTTTTTGGGTATTGAGTTTGATAAGGTCTTTATAGATTTTGGATACTATCCCTTTATTGTATGTCATTTGCAGATACCTTCTCCCATTCTGTGGGTTGCCTTTTAATTTTGTTGATTGTTTCTTTTACTGTGCAGAAGCTTTTTATCTTGATAAAGTCCCAATAGTTCATTTTTGCTTTTGTTTCCCTTGTCTCTGGAGACGTGTCTAGCAAGATGTTGCTGGGGCGGAGGTCAGAGAGGTTGCTGCCTGTGTTCTCCTCTAGTATTTTGATGGATTCCTATCTCATATTTCGGTCTTTCATCCATTTTGAGTTTATTTTTGTGTATGGTGTAGGAAAGTGGTCCAGTTTCATTCTTCTTCATGTGGCTGTCCAATTTTCTTAACACCATTTGTTGAAGAGACTGTCTTTTTTCCATTAGATGTTCTTTCCTTCTTTATAGAAGATTACTTGATCATAGAGTTGAGGGTCCATTCCTGGGTTCTCTGTTCCATTCCATGGATCTCGTGTCTATTTTTGTGCCAATACCATGCTGTTTTGATCACTACAGCTTTGTAATACATCTTGAAGTCTGGAATTGTGATGCCTCCAGCTTTGGTTTTCTTTTTCAACATTCCTCTGGCTATTTGGGGTCTTTTCTGGTTCCATATAAATTTTAGGATTGTTTGTTCCAGCTCTGTGAAATATGTTCATGGTATTTTGATAGGGATTACATTGAATTGTAGATTGCTTTGGGTAGGTAAGACATTTTAACAATATTTGTTCTTCCAATCCATGAGCATGGAATGTTTTTCCATTTTTTTGTGTCTTCTTCAATTTCTTTCATAAGTGTTCTATAGTTTTCAGAGTACAGATCCTTTCATGCTTTGGTTAGGTTTATTCCTAAGCATCTTACGGTTTTTGGTACAATTGTAAATGGGACCAATTCCTTGATTTCTCTTTCTTCTGCCTCATTGTTAATGCAAAGAAATGCAACTGACTTCTGTGCATTGATTTTATATCCTGCAAATTTGCTGAATTCCTGTATCAGTTTTAGCAATTTTTTCAGGAAATCCATTTCTGTGTGTTTAAAACTTTCAAGAGCTTGCCATTAGTTCTATGACCTTACTGTATTTCACTCATTAAATGGTTCCTACTCTGTAGCATCAGAACTCCCACAAATCCATTCTGTCACGTTTATTTATGACATATGTCACACCTTGTTCAGTCCCTAGTGAAATCTGAAAATAAAGTAGGTTATATAATTACATTTATAGAAATGAACAAAGGACAAAGTTTACCTTATACACATGTGTTTGTGTGTCACGTGCCTATCCAGATACACGTCTTCTTGGCTGTTCATGAACAAAAAAATATAGGTGGAAGGACTGTCCTGTTGATTGTATTTACTCTGAGGGAGTGGAATTTTGATGAAACTCTTTCAGACCATATTTTAATCACATCTCCTTTTTAAGGACAAAATAAGAATTTAAATTATGATTTTTAAACACAATTTTTTGGAAAAGTTGATGGTTATCAAACAGCGCAGATATTAATAATGAATTTTTGACCTAAAATAATTGTTTCCACCTATGCATTTAACCAAGCCCCCAAATTTTCAGGGGCTTTCCCCAAGGGATGGGGCTACTGGTGGTTTACATTTTCATCTTTTTATAGTTCTCTGTGCAATAGAAGGATCTGAAAGAAACAAACTTTTTTTTTAAAAGATTTTATTTGTTTATTTGAAAGACAAAGATCACAAGTAGGCAGAGAAGCAGGCAGATAGAGAGGAAGGGAAGCAGGCTCCCTGCTGAGCAGAGAGCCGGGACATGGGGCTTGATCCCAGGACCCTGGGATCATGACCTGAGCTGAAGGCAGAGGCTTTAACCCACTGAGCCACCCAGGCACCCCAGAAACAAACTTTGTAAAGTAGTAGTTTTAGGTAATCAAAGATAATGAAGGCTAGCGTCAATATAGGTTTCCCCTGCTATCAGAAATTAAAGAACATTCCTCTGAAACCTATCCTAGCTGAAATGGCATAAAGCCAAGAGTATCCCACATGTTCTGAAGATTTGAAAGTTTTTATGCCACATCGCTTTTAAGAAAGTCTGAGACTAGTACCTGTTTTTGCTAACTGAAGGAAATAAGAGGATTGTCGCTTTCTGGAAGAAAGCTATTATCATACTAATGTTGGTCTTCCATAAAAGCGAAGTGGTGTAACTCAGGCTTTTGGGAGGCTGGGGGTACTCGAAATACAAAATTATGTATGAAGTGAATAATTTGATGTAGACAAAAATGTCCAGAGTAAAGGCAAACACATTTGTGCTGGGTATTTCTGGATGATGGTGTGTACTTGTGTTTCTTGTTACTGATACTGTGGCAAATGTTTGATCTTATTTCCACAGTTTAACAACTCATGTTAAGTTCTGCCAAGAAGATTGGATGGCATAAGATAGCAATTGAAATGTGAGGGTTAGGGATTTTCACTTGAGCGACAGCGCCCATTTTAAGTATTCAAAGAGATTGGCTCCACACTTTGTGTGAAACCATCAGCCTGTGAAATGGCATTTTGCTCTCTGTATGTATAGGAAAAATCCTTAAAAGAAAATAGTAAGCGATGACTTGAGACCACTTAAGACGAGCCAGATACAGGGTGCCTAGGTGGGGTCGTACGTTAAGCATCCTATTGGTTTCATTTCAGGTCATGATCTCTGGGTCCTGGGATGGAGCCCCACATCGGGCTCCATGCTTAGTGGGGAGTCTGCTTGAGATTCTCTCTCCGCCTCCTGTTTTCTCTCTCTAAAGTAAATATATCTTTTAAAAAAAAATTTAAAGGATTTTATCTATTTATTTGACAGAGAGAGAGAGCGAGAGCAGGAACACAAGCAGGGGTAGTGGGAGAGGGAGAAGCAGGCCCCCTGCAGAGCAGGGACACCCCCCGCCCCCTGATGCGGGGCTTCATCCCAGGACCCTGGGATCACAACCTGAACCGAAGGCAGATGCTTAATGACTGAGCCACCCATGTGCCCCCTGCCTTTTTTTTTTTTTTTTAAGATGAGCCAGATTCAACATAGGTCAAAAAATAGTTAATACATTAAAAGTTAATACAATAAACTGGTATTACAGGCCCCTCAGAGGGGCAGGTCATAAGTAGAAACCCTTGATGTGTAAGAAATTGTACAACAGTGCCATTTTTGTTTAGATTTTCCTTGAGTTGGTTGGGAACCTTTTTGTATATTTAGGATACTTTTGTATTTCTTTTCCTGTGAGTTGTTAACATCTTTTAGTATTGGGTGGTACCAAAATTATTCCTAAAGCGTCCTCTATGTTTCAGTAAGACTAGTGTGAATTGAAAATATTTTTTCCTCTTTATCATTGCTTTTCTGACTTTGATTATGAGGTTTTTTAATATGGTAAATTTTGTCTCTTCATATATATCCATGTTTCCTTTGATGGGTTTTGAATCAAAGATCGAAAGGGTTTCCCTCCTGCACAGTTACCATGGAATCAGCCCATGCTTTCTTTTAGTAGTTGAATAATTCTGTTCATTGCACATTTAATTCTTGGATCCATGTAGAGTTTATCCTGGCTTAATGCAT